AGCCCACCAGTACCCTTTTGGGTCCCTGAAACACCCTCTCCAGAGGCAGGTTGTGCCAAGGATGTGTCAAGCCTCTGGCCCAGTCACAGTGGGGTGCTTTTGCCTCTCATTCCCAGTTAGACTCACTTCAGCCTTCAGTACTGTTAACTGTACGTTAGCTGTTGGGATCCTCCTGTAACACCAGAAATAGAGATGGGTTCTTCCCGTTCATGTCTTGATGGCAGTAAAGTACACTGTGCACTGGTGCCTACTAGAGCCTTATACTCTTGTGTGTTTCATGTGCCAGGCCATAAAATCCACACAGTCCACTAAACCTGGTTGTCCTTTTCGTGCACCTGGTTGGAGGCAGGGCCCCTCTAATCCTGGTCATAGTATTCATTACCGACAAATGGTTTCATAGGATGCACATGAGTTCAAATCCCATTGTTGTTACTTGTAAATATGAATCAGAAGCTTTCTTCTTCCATAAGATCAGAAGTAAGATCAGCCCTCCTACTGTGTCTGGGGAACTGGAGCAGCAATTTTCCTGGAAGAACCCCCATTTGTGATTGTTTTTCCTTGCCATTCACATATGCGTGCCTGTAGGGTTGAGGTAGGTTTTCCATCCCACTTTCTCATGTCCTCTCCATGGTTCACACGCATAAATCCACGGGGTGCCTTGCAGTGCGTTCCCTTTATATCTTCTCTCTTGAGCAGAGAAACACTTACTCCTAATAGCTGTGATACTGGTCTATACAAGCAGAGAATTAGACCTATCCTTTTTGAGTTGTTGGATCTCCCATGACAGTTTTTCAAACAGATTTTTGGATTTTTTTGGACAGTCTTTCCACAGCCGAGACACAGGCCTGTAGGGAGGAAGAGAGATTTTCTTCATATGGCTGCAGTTGGCCAGGCACTTAATTCATAGCTGGTGCCTCTTCGTCTTTCCAGTCCATTACTGGAATGATTTGGCATACGTTGATTGTGTGCTCTGTACAAACCTCCACCACATGGGTCAGGTACATTGGACTTTATCTGGATCTGTGGGTAACTGCACTTTGTCTGGGTCATATGATGATGATGATGGTGATGATTATTACTATTATTATAATAAAGTGATGCACAAAGGCACAAGTTGCTCACCACTTGCAGAAAAAAAACAAAACCCCGATGCCCAATCTGTTTCTGAGCAGTGATTCCACCTCCTGGCTAGCTTCCCCAGTTATGCATGGATCATGATGTTATATGGTAGGGAATATCCCTTTGGCCAGGGTGGGTCAGCTGACCTGGCTGTTCTCTCCCAGCTTCTTGTGCACCTGGCAGGGCGTGAGAAGCTGAAAAGTCCTTGACTTAGTGTAGACACAACAACTACCTAGCAACAACTAAAACCATTAGTGTGTTATCAACATTACTCTCATACTAAATCCAAACCAAAGCACTATACCAGCTACTAGAAAGAAAATTAACTTTCAGCTGAAACCAGGACATAAGGTCCCAGGTCTAGGGTGAGTATTTTGTGTCACTGGTTGCAAGTTTCAGACATATTCTTCATTCTTGAGGTAGTGACACAAGAACTGGCTGGTGAGCGTGGCGTTCCTATAGTTCATCCCTTTTCACCTGGGGGGGGGGCCCTTCATATGTCTCAGTGGGTGTTACAACTGCCAGAGTGGCATCTCTAATTATCTTTTCCTGGTTTGATCTGCTCTAAGGAAGTTCTGCTTTAAAAACTTATTACTTAAAAATCACATTATTTCACTCAACAAAATGTCTGTTTTAAATTCCACCTTACCTGCTGACAGCAGCAGAAAATATAAAATTATTGGGTTTTTTCTTGTCCTGTTAGAGTTGCAGAGGCAAAAGTTTCTATTCAAATTAACATACAGTGAACACCTTGCCCCAGCTCAGCACCCCCCATCTGTTCCAAAAGTGTATTGTATTTAAGTTTGTGCCTAAGTTCAGATGTGATCTTTATGCCTCTTCAGCAACATATATGCTCTACAGAGCAGGGGTAGACTCAAGCTTGTAAAGTTTTGCTCATTTGCAATCCTGGGTGACCAGTGGCACCTGCAGCTCTGGCCTAGAGTCCTTCCCAGCTTTTTATACTAAGGATAACTGTGTACTGAAAACTGCTTGACACTGCCAGTGCAGGTATCAGGTATTACCTAGCTGCACTCATTAAAAGTGTCTTTTTTAACTTATGTATTGAAAGTATGTCTGTTTTTAGTACCCTGCCTCCACTCCCATAAGCAGGTACAATTACCATGACTTAATTTCTTCAGCTGACATTTAAGCAGACATTCTTCACCTGTTACTTGCTGTGAATTGGAAGCATACAACTGTTTAATTACCATAGTTCACTTGGCCCGTGGTAGCTTGTTAAACCCTCATATCTTGACCATGTGTGTCTGAAGCCTAATACTTTAAACAATTAATTGCAGAGAAGCAAGATAAAGGATTGGACTAACCTGATTGACGATAGAGATCATAAGAGTTTCTATGATTTCAGCTAACAGCTTGACTAGACCCTGAGCTGCAGTAGTTTAATTTGCAGTATGTTTTTAAGCTGATTTTGTTTAAATTGGTACAAAAGGCTGTGGGTGTTCTTATTATGAGATAATTAGAATAGCTATGGCTGAACTTCAGTTAATTAGGAGCAGTTTACACAAAACTGAATATGTTGTTCTAATGGTAAAATAAGAATGTATAAGAAAACATGGCTGTTCCTGAACCAAGCTGATTTGTGAGAGATGAGATTGTAGTGAAGCGTTTATTTCCTAAATCATAAATACTTCATGTATTTAACTATATTTCTATGATGTTTCTGTGAAAACAAACTGCTCTGGTCCTCTTTTAAATATGCGTTTATTACAAAGTTTTGTAAAATACTCAAAAATAGTATGCTAATTTCCAAAGTCATCTTCCCTTGGTCTCTCAGTGCTTTTTTCTATAGGAAGTCATTAAGCTCTATCACAGTAGTATGTATGTGTTATATTGTAACCAAGATTTGAACTGTGTCCTAACAGCTTTGTTCTACCTCCATCCTAGAGCATGGGAAATGACCTTAGTCTGTCTGACACTATCTGCCCTCTGCTTTATGTTGTGTGATCTTTACAGTCTGTATTACTATTAGATAAACTCCATGTGAGCCATGAGTATTGGGTTTTATCTGTGCATTTTTCTGCCAATGCAGAAAGAACATTCTTCGATTCTTGGATGCTGAAAGAGATATTTCAGTGGTCAAAAGCAGCTTCAAGCCAGGAGATGTAATCCATTATGTACTGGACAGACGTCGCACCCTAAATATTTCTCAGGATTTGCACAGCCTTCTCCCTGAAGTTTCCCCAATGAAGAATCGCCGATTTAAAACCTGTGCAGTTGTTGGGAATTCCGGCATCCTTCTGGAGAGTGGGTGTGGAAAAGAGATTGATAGCCATGACTTTGTAATAAGGTGAGTTTTCATCTGCTGTTGAAGATACAGCCTGCTATGTTTCTTGGACAAAAGCGGGGAGAAAGGTTTTAATCTGAAATACAGATTTCAAGCATTATCTGAAATTAATCTGAAACTATCCTTCATTGGGTGATTTCCCAAATTTGAATGTTACCCATATTTTTGACAAGAAGATAATTTTTACAGTGAAAAAAAAAGCAAGGGCCAGAGGAGGGAGGTTTGTGCTACATATTTTTGCTGTTCGGTGGTTTTATTCCAGACAAAATAAACATTCTTATGGAGGCGTTGGTAGAATAAATGCAAAATATTCTTTCTTAGTTCTTGGCCAATAAAGATGGCCTATTGTTAATTACTACATTACAATATATGCAGCATGGGGTAAAATTACAGTGTGATGTATTGATGTTGAACCAGATGGCTCGCGTTAAGGTAATTGGAAGTCATACATCTAAATCCATTCGCATTGCTCTAAAAATGTGTCCCTGCAGTTTGGGCAAAAATGTTGATATGCTTCACTTTTTATTCATTCTTCAAACATACACAATAGAAGACCGTTGGACTTCACCTATCAATAGGAAATAAAGAGGAATAGCTGGCCTCATTTGACAGCCTGGCATTATATGGATATAGAGGAGGTTGTGCAAGAGATGATAGGTCATTTTGCTTTTGAAGCAGAAGTTTCTATTGGTTTGGTTTCAGAAGGGTGAAAGGGCAGAAGACAGAAGGGCAATGACAGAAAAAAATATAACAGTACCTGTCATTGCTAGTTGTTTGGTTTTTCATTTTCTCATCTTGAAGAAAGGTGATGGCAAAAACTATCAAAAGGATATGGAAAAGAAACATTATAGTTTTTCAGTACATAAATCAGGATTTACACATGAAAGTTACATTTTATTTGAAAGGTGTACTAGCAAGTGGCAACTGAAACAATAACACACCACTCTTTAATTTTCCTTGTTTTGCTTGTACCACTATAGTCTTTCAAATTAGCATCCTGATTGCAGAAGGAATCAAAAACTAAATAGCATATTTAAAAAACACATTTAGCCTATTGCATGCTTTTGTACTCTCTCAGAGATTAAATGTGATTCATTTAACAGAACTACAGAAAAAAATAGATACTAGATTTTCTAGATGAACATTTTCTTTCAGAAGGCAAGGTACATACTTACATCATGTCCTGAATTTCTTTGAAGTCATCTCCATGCTCTTCCCCATGTTTTAACTAGCCATGAAACTAGGTCATGATATCTGATAGGAGATTTTAACTAATTCAAGCCATGTGGAGTGAAGATAATATTCTTAAAGAATTGTGTATAAGTAAAAGAAGAATGGTGAAGCTTAATAGGAACATCAGGAAGTTACTCTTGCTGATCAGTTATTTAGACTGGAGAAACATCTCTCATATGGTGTATGACTAATTAGACTGATGATATTGTGGATAATAATCTTTATAAGTTTCTGGGAATAGAATACTTGACCCTGCAGCCTATAGAGAGTTTTAATACAGTGAAATTATCAGATTTACAAATCAAAGTCAAAACATTTTAGAAGTTCACAGATTATCTCATAGGTTAAACTATATGATATTTATTTATGTATGTCTGGATGAGTGCATAGGTGCATGACATCTGTTTAAAGTAAATAGCAATGAATTCATTTGTATTTTGAGTTAAAGAAAAAGGCAAAACATTCTTCAGAGTTACAGTTTCCTACGTTCCTCTTCTTCCATTTAAAAAAAGGCTGTATGCAGCATGATGGCTAATTACATAATCTAATGGTACCGGCATACTTAGTAACCACTCGCCTCTATTGCTTATAGGATTCTGGTATTAAAATGCACTATGACACTCTGTTACTCTCTTTACTTTCAGCTGATTTCTCTACAAGTAAAATGCACTCATTCTACTCGCCACCTGACATTGTTCTGAAATGCAGTTACTGTACGTACTGTATACAGCTAAGTGTATAGGCTGATAAAATGTATGTAGAATCTCCTGATGCTGAGTGCATTATGCCTATGTGCTGTGACAAATATGTCATACTATTTTGGCTAAATATATTCTCCAATTGATTTTGATAGTACTGTATGCTTTTTCTGAGATCTGAAAACAAAAGTGTGTGGTTTTGAGAGAGCTGTTTCTCAGACCAGCAGTTCTAATGTTAGATCTAACACCCAACAATACCATTAATTTAATGATAAAATTGGTAGTGAAGATCTGTGAAAGAGGACACAACAGACATCCAGCAGTGTTTACATTACAGTACAATAAACTCAATATCATGAATTTTAATGTTCCAATAAAGGTGGTATGAAGATGTTAGTAATAACTTATAAAGACACAGAATACACACTTTATTAAGGGTAAAGAAGAATATCAGTACCTAGTGCTTTAATTAATTTAAGGTTGACAGTGTCTGTTAATGTCTTTCAAAGTCATCCAAAGTTAATAATAGCTGTTCATCTTCCTTTGACATATTCCAGCATGTTCAGTGCCTTCTATATAACACTATGTCTCAAAGAACATTGATCCAACAGAGACACCAGATCATTAGAATACTTCTATTATGAAAAACATTTAAAAATAGGCACCTAGAGTCAAATAATAAGCATGCCTGCAAGCCAACATATAATTGTCAGCAATTTTTACAAGTAAAACAATACAAGTGTAAATTATTTATTGTAAATAAGGGCCATTTTTGCAAGCAAGGTAATATCTTGTCAGCATAAGTGGATTTACTGTATTTACCGCACACTTTAAAGTGGCTTGGTTTTAATTACTTGATCACATAAGCCCTTATTTTGTTCTCACAGCGTCAGAAATCAAGAGTCTAGGGACATATCTTCTGCTACGATAAAATGGATTAGTTCCACAAGTTTACTGAAGTTATGCCTATTTTGACAGAAGAAAATGGGACCCATCTAGTTAAAATGGGAAACTAGGATACTCTTTGCTATTAAAAAAAACCTGTGCTGACTATAAACTATTTCCTGTGTCTTATATTCCTTTCATTTCCTTTTATGTTTTTACACCCTGTTACATGACTATTGATCCTTGCACCTCCACTACTTTTGTAGTGGTGAGGTAAAGCATGCTGCATTATGATACTATACCTAGAAAGAGTCTGAAGCATTCCAAAATCTCTGATTCCATAAAATAAATTAGAATGAAAATGCAAGATAATCAACCTGATTACATTTAATATGTATACATGGCACAGTGCTGTTGCAGGAGATGTTTTTCACATGGTACAGTTTTCAGCTGTTTCTCTAGCTCTTGGGTCAGATATATAGGGCTTACTCCATGTGAGACTTAAATGAAAGAAATCTTATTCCCCCATTGTCTACATGTTCTCATGTCAGGGCTGTGTTAGCTGTTACATCTTACAGAACAGATGAGCTTGTTATAGCAAGTGGTACATTTTAAAATGCATAGGACTTCCTGAAAAATACAACTGTATTTTGGGTAAATGCAAAATAACAATACTAACTGTTACCAAGTAATACCTTTCGGATTACTGGAATTACTTCTGGCAGTCAATAAATACCAAAAAGAATACAGTTCAACTTTAGATTCAGAATTTGAACAGTGCCAAAGATCAGAATAAATACTCTTCCTTTTCTTTTTTTCCTTTTTTTTTTTTTCTTTTTTAATTACTGGAATTCAGCATTCGTGATGAGAACTTTTCAAAAGCAGAGGCCAAGTCGACTTTTGGAGTTATTTGGCTAAAAAGCAGACAACCCCCCCCCCACCCC